GCAGATCGACACTTCCACCCAACCTGGTGTTGTCAGCAAACTTACTGAGGATGCACTCAATCTCCTCATCAAGATCATTGATAAAGATATTGAACAGAACTGGCCCCAATACTGAGCCCTGGGGAACACCACTCATGACCGGCCGCCAACCGGATTTGACTCCATTCACCACCACTCTCTGGGCTTGGCCATTGAGCCAGTTTTTTTACCCAGCAGAGAGTGCACTTACCGAAGCCATGAACAGTCAGATTTCCTTTCAGATTGACTGAAGTGCACAGTTAAGTATTTTTGTAAAAGTGTTTTCAATCATCAGTCAGGTTTTAAAAGCCCAGCCTTTAGCTTAAACATTATTATTCTTTAAATAAATCATGCTTTTTTAGAGTCCTTTCATTTGCCTTTGATATTAGAGTTCTGGGGATTTGTATGTTTCACATTTTCTGAACCAATGGATACATTTTCTAAGTTGATATATAACAGATACGCAAGTTAGTGCAAGCTTATCCCAAGATGCCATTTTTTTGCTAATTACCAAATATTTTAAGATTCACAGTAAAGTTGCAGGAGTTGGCAACATTGCAAAACATCAGGAGTTGGCAGTGCTATGAAACATTGCCAGTTGTGTGGTCCGGTATGGCATTTTATTATGTTCTGTTTCATAAAAGAAAATCGAGGCAGAATTCTGCTATCTCAAGCTTGTGCTAAGAGCTCTTTCCTGAAAAGGGCAGAATGTGGGAGGGTCAAAATTGCTACTCAGACCTAAAGTTCCTTCATTCATCAGTGCAATGGTAAGAAAGCTGGAGGAGTCAGCAGCATTTCATCCATGGTGTACAGGCTTCTTTATTCCTCTGCCCAATTAGAAGTTTAATGTGGTGGGTAAAAACCTCTGGAGCCTTGAGAGATGCTGCACATGAGAGAGGCAGTTTGCTGCTAGACAGCATCCACATCCTGCTCATCCAGTTGGATCCAATTTGGATACTCTCCCCAACCTGTGCATGACCACAGAGAATTCGTGTCTCTGTGCCTGTTTCCCTGACAGTGAAATGGAGCAGTTCAGACAAAGGTGCATCAAATGAGCCTTGTAAAGTCTTGGCCTCATCCTTCAGCTGAGGGAGAAAGACTGTGCCCTCCCTCTCTGCAGGCTCCCCTTCTCAGCTCTGCCCCACTGTGCTCTGCGTGAGCCCCTGGCACCACCGGCCAGCAGGGCTGTGCGCCCCTCTGCCCCCCCCGACAATTGTTGTGTTGCCTCCCAGTTGGTGACTACGTAAAAGCCCTGGAGTGTGCCAAGTCCTACCTCCTCTTCCACCCAGACGATGAAGATGTCTTGGAGAACGCAGGTTATTATGAGGGCCTCTTGGAAGGTACGATGGATCCAGACACCATCAAACCCAGAACGGTGAGAGCGAGTGTCACTTAAGAGCCCTTGGTGGGAGGCTTTAACAAAAGCATCAGCTGTAAATAAAAGCAGCTTGGCAGCTTTCCCACAGTGGGACCACTTTGAAAACAGATGTGGAGATGCTGGGCTAGCTGGCGATGCTAAATGTCAGGGTGCAAGTGCAGAGTCACTGGTGTGGGGGAGAAGCTGGAAGGAAGGATCTTCTTTAAATGGGGACTTCAGCTTAGCAAAGCCCAAGCAAGGGCAGGGAGGATGATGACTGAGTGCCTCAACAATGTAAACCTTCCCCTCACTCAGTGCTCAGAGGAGACACGGAGGAGGAATGCAACGAAGCACTGAGCAGAGGGCAACCTCGTTAAGAGAGGGCTGAGAAATATTTTCCCAAGGGGAGGCTGGGATGTCATTATTACTCTCAAGTCACTGAGCTTGGAGTTCAGCGCTCAGCCTGTTCTGCGGGGAGTAGCTTTGCTATCACAGGGTTTGGCTGGGGTCAAACAGCCAAACAGTATGTGTGCAGTCACCCAGCAGGACGGGCTTCCTCTCCAGTCCCAGCAGCCTTTATCTGCAGCCCTGGGGCTGCCTTTCTCACGATGCAGGGGAGTAGAAGTTCCTCCCATCCCATCACAGCCCTGCTAAGACTCATTCCTTTTGCTCCATAAGCAGAGGGGGGACAAGAATTGGATTTTCCATTCCCTTGGGAATTCCTTGATTTCCAGGAAAATCAGGGTGAATTTGGTGAAATGCTAAAAAAGAAAAGGGAAACGATAAAAAATAAACCAAGAACAATCATTGTTTCTCCCCACAAAGTGAATCTAGGAAAAAACCTGAAGTCGACAACAACATTTCAGTGTTTCCAGTGTTTTGAATTTTTTGTTAAAAATTTTTTTTTATTGTTTTCTTTACACATTTTTCAGTCAAAAAAATCCCCTTTGATGGATGATTTCCAGCTGGCTGTGCTTTGTGGTCCCCATCCCAGCACCCTGAGTGTGTCCCAGGCTGCAATGCTGCAGCCCACCCACCGCTGGGCTATGGGCTCTGTGTTGTAAAATGGTCTCTGCTCTGCCAGCCTGAACCTGTCTCCCGCTCTGCAGCCAGGGTTTCTCCAGTCATCCTCTTGCCCAGATATATAGAGGTTTTCCCAGGTGCTCAGCACTCTCTGCCAGCTATGCACATGTATTCTGGGGATTCAGGCTTCCCCAATGAGTTGCTGAATGCCTCTCCTTCTGTAATGTAGTGAGTGGCTCAGCCCAGTGTCCAGGTTTGCTCTAAGACATGGCCCAGGCATCCCTCACCCCATAGGAGTCTACGGTGTTGTGTGAAAAGCAAACCCCTGTTGAAGCAGACGTGCATTGACTGTGTCTTGTGAAAGCTACACAAGCAACTACCCCACTTCTCCTCTTCTTTTCAGGAAGCAAAAACGCTGCTGCGGCGCCATAAGCTGGAGTCTCACCTCTTGCAGGTGGCTGCAGCCAGCCTTGGATACACCTACACAGAGCCGGTAATGCCTGGGTCTGCTATGGCAAGGACCTTCAGTTGTTCACAGCTATAGGACCAGCTTCCCCCGCCCTCTGTCCTGTAAAGCGAGTCCCATGTAGGTGGCTCAGGAGCTGGGTCTTGGCCCGGTTTGTTCCCTATGGGAAAAGGGTGATGGCAAAGCAAGAGAGGCAGCTGTTCCCAGGGTGAAGGAGAAGCAGACACGGCCTAGCCCAGCTCTCCTGCTGTGGTGTCTGGCTGTGTCTCAGTCACTGCCATGGTGATGGGGTGGGACAGAGAAGGCTGGGCAAACTGGCCTTCTTCTGTACTCATCGTAAGATGCCAGTGTGGGTTTGGGGTAAATTTTCTGTTTGGTCATCCCAGGCAATTGCCTGAAGTTGTGTGGAATGGATCCACATCAGAGAGGCTGGCCAATGTCCCCATGTGCGAGGCAGAGCCTCACTCCCTGGCTCTGGTCGGAGCATTAAATCAAGAAGCACGATCTCTCTCTTTTCCCGCAGAACTATTGGAACAGGTACGGCGCCCGCCAAGATGAGCACAGGTGAGCCACTGCCCCGTCCGCGCCTGCAGCTTTGCCAGTTCACACAGCGGGGTGAAGGAGATGTGCCCATGGTGGAGTACCAGCCTGCCACTCGCAGGGTGCTGCCCATCCATCCCAGCACACCATCATGGTTGAATTAGGGTCCTTTGCCCCTTACCATTACAAACATTGCCACAAGCACCTTATTTTAGCTGAGTGCCTCAAAAACAGTGATCGTCTAGAGGGAACTTGGTTGGTGAGGCTAGTGGTGCTATTCAGGTTTGTTGGTGTCTGTGCTTTGTTGGTGGAAAAATGTTGTTCCCATTACCAGAAAAATACGGTTTTCCACAGGGCAGGGTGAGGGCTTCTACTTGCACAGTTGTGGCATTTGTACTAAATACCAATTTGCCCATTTTTTTCACGTATTCGTTTCTGAAGGGTGCAAACCAGCACAATTCCCAGAACTGGAGATCTGTGGCCAAAGTCATGATGCTCCTCTTCTCTCTTGCTCCTCAGTGTCCCATCAAGTATTAGCAGTGAACCAGAAGATGGGCCCCGGCTCTCCCTGGCAAAGAAACCCATGCCAAAACCAGATCGGGAGTTGAAGGAGGGTAAGTATGATGAAGATGTTTCAACAAAATCAGAAAGTTTTTTCCTATTGCTAGAGACTGCAGACTGCAAAGGCTGGCAGCTGAGCAATAAGGGCCAATCCTACCTGGGGAGCATTGAAGTTTTGTTTAAGAGACAGAGAAGTCTTTGATTCTGCCACAGCATTTCTAGGTCCGTGGATCCCGCCAGCACTGCTCTGCTCTTGGACCTGCTTTTCCCACCTGCTGAGCTGCTCAGTGCAGAGACCTGAGATGCAGAGCTGGGAGGCTGGGTCCTCCTCCCCATGGGGAAGGTGGCACCAACAAACAGTAGTCTTTCCCCTAGGTGCTTTTAAGATTAAAATGTTCTCTGTTGTCCAGGCTGCAGAAGGATGGATGCTGGAGACAATAGGTTTTAGGAACCGTGGTCCTGATGCTTTGCTAAGTACACCAGATCACTCCATATTAGCAACCTTTTCTGTTTGCAGACTGGCTTGTGATTTCATGTCTTGGCTTACATCAAATCATTTGGTCTTAAGACCTGTTGGCAGACATTTCAACTGATTTCAGCACATTTCCAGCAACCACAGAAAATATCATAACATCTTCTACTAAAGACAAGATTTTCTCCATAACAATTTTGAAAAACTATATTGTGGCCAAATACCAAAGCGTGCTCCTCGCTACAAAACAAGGGGATTTCAAGCCAGGAGGTGTCTTGTGTCTCTAGTGGGCCAGCTCCACAGCAGCAGGCAATGAAACCTCCTTGTAATGCAATGGTTGGTCCTGCTTTTTGGGAAATTTCACACCTTTCCGTGGCTCAAGCTGTGTCCAGCTGCTCAGTGTCTTGTTCAGATATTGTTATCCCTTCTCTAGCCATACATAAAATAGGTGAATACCACAGGAAGATCCTGAAGAGCTTGCTTAAGCCAAGAGCTGATTGATTTAGATTTGTTGGCCTGTTTGCCTTCTATAACCAAATAATTTCAGAGTGCATCTTTCTCTGTTTTTTTCTCTATATGCTTTTATTCTGTTTTAGTTGCAGAATGTTTTCAAGTTTACAAAGAAAACTGAAACTGTTCAAAAAGAAAATGGGATTTTTGTCCATCCAGCTGCTTCCTTTCTCTGTTGTCTTTTTTTCTTTCTCTCTTTTCACTTGGAAAAAGAAAACAAAAGGCCAAAAGAGAAAAAGAAAAGTCCTTTTTAATTTTGTACTCTTCTGTACTTCCCCCTTCGTCCTTTCCACCGATTCGTTCATTCCTAAAAGTCCAAAGAATTCCCCAGTTTCTTTGGTGTGTTTTTCACAGACTGTACACACGGGAAACAAGTCTCTCTCTCTCCTGGTACTTAGAGGTGGTGGGGGCAAAGACGACAGCCAGGAGCGCACTGCCGGTGTGGGACAAGGGTTCAGTGTTCACAGCACAGGGCAGCCCCTGCTAGTTCCCCAGGAGGAACAGAAGAAACTGGAGAACTGGTGAGTGATGCCTTCCAGGTTCATCCCTCATGTGCCTACGGCTGGGGAAGAGCAACATCTGAGCTGGAAAACTCAGCCCTGAGTGTGCCAGGAGTTTGGATTTCAGAGTCCTGTTTCTGATCCAGCTGCATTTATAATACATGCTATTATCGAGCAACAAGAACAGCAAAGTGAACATGAGGAATATCCCATCTTTTCCATTTCTAAGAAACCTAACTCTTCAGAAATAAAGTCGTGGGCTAGTGGTGGGGCTCTGCCCTCAGTGTTAGTTGTCCTCCATAGGCCAAGGAGACCTTCCAAAAAACACGCAATGTGCCTCAATGGATAGTAAAAGTAGTAATTATAAAAGCAGTGTAACAGAGAAGTTTCCCTGTGCCACATGGTGAGAGGAGTTCTGTGGCTCTGTTTCCTCTGGTTTTTTTGTGGCTCTGTGACAAGAGATAATTTTTCCCACAATCTAGATGCATTTCACCTTCCTCCTGGAGAAACGTCTGGTTTAGGTTTTTATTGTTGCCATTTCTTTCATTCTCTCTCTTTGAGGAGAAGAGGCTTCAGAAGATGGTGATTTAGTGGCCTTGCTATGTTTTTCTGATCAGGCAAATTTGATGGGGATGGATGCAAACTTCTTGTAAAGAGCTAATCTCTCTCTTCTCCTTGTCTGTTTGCTCAGCACGTGGCAAGGCTGAGTTGCCCCATACCAGGCGGGAGCCCAGCAATGTGCAAGTCCAGCCACAGCTGTATTCCCATCCCAGGGATGCTACCTGGGACCTCCAAAACACAGCCAAGCCATTGGCTTCTGCAGGCAGAGGGAGGCAGCTCGGAGGCGGGGAGCAAGGGATGGCAGGGACGGCCACAGCAGCTCCTTTGCCTCTGCGGGGGAGGATTGTCTTCAGGGTCCTCCGGCTTGCCCACTTCCAGTCCCTCTTGGTGGAGAGCAAGCGATGCTTGCTGCAAGCTCAGCACCGCATTAGGTTTTCTATGTGTGTAAAAGACAAAAAAACCCACTGATGACAATTCCAGAGAGTGGCTTTGCATGACAAGCTGGCAAGATCCACACAGTGCAAATGCAATGGAAACTTACGGCCTCCGTTGATGTTGGCTGCTGGGCAGCAGAGTCAGGTTAGCTGGTGTCTGTCTCTCGTCATGTCCCATCGGCTTTTGGCGTTTTCAGGCTGTGGTCCCTGCATTTGCAAGGCAGCTAATGAGAAGGTGGAAAATGCTGATGCTCTTGCAGCAAATTGATTTAATCTCTGGGTGTTTCCATTGCTTCTGTTTATTTTGTTGCTGATGTGAGACCAAACTCTGCTGTGAAGCTCTT